GGCAGCAGGTGGGGGCTGTGTGGGGTAGCCGTGGGGGGGCTGAAGGAGCCAGAGGGGGATGGGGCCAGGTGGGGCAGCAATTCAGGGGATGGGAGGAGCAAGCAGGGGTAGGGCATGTGGGCCCTGCAGGCAGGGGGTGGTAGCCCCTGTGGAGGCCATATGGCCCCTGTTGGGGGACTGTAACTCCTGTAGCGGGGGCTGTGGCCCGTGTGGGTGGCAGGAAAACATATAGGTATTTAGAATTCACTTTATTATGATGGTAAAGACAGTGGTAGGCTTCCAGAATGCTTTAACACTGTAGATAGATCAATAAAACATTGCTTAACTGATCGCTGTCTCTGTCTCTCACTCTCTCTCTACATATATATAGTGGTCTTTTGGTTTAATTGTGGAGGAACATGGATTTGGGGGTATTTTACAGAGTGACTTTGGGATATTCTTATCAGGGATTTTTCAGTTTTTCAATAGGGAACACCAGAATTTCTGCTAGGGAGGCAAGTGGCAGGACTCTGCCTGCTCAGAGCTGGCACCTTGGACCCAGCTGGCTGTGGCTGACCTCCTGGCCAACTGGGACCAGGAGGATGTGCTTTGACAGTTCAAAGCAGGCCACCACACCCGGAACATTTTCCAGTCAATAGCTGCCAAGATGGCTGTGCAAAAGGCATATATGGCAGTAGTGCCATACAAAGGCCAACCCTGCAGCCACAGCCCACTGGCAGCTGGCCTAGAGGAGCAGATGCCTCTACTGGCTGTGCAGTCCCCATGCGGGTCTGGTAGGTACGCAGCACATCACAGCCAGGCAGCAGCCCCCACTCCCAGACTGCTGCAGTGGGTAGAGGGTGCAGGGAACTCTCAGGGCTGCTGCAGCAGTCCAGCTGGCACAAGGTGTAGTGTCCCCAGGTAGCAATTGGCTGGGCCCCAGAAGCTCCTGAGAGCGAATAGCCCTGAGCTACTTGCCAAGGCAGCTTGTTACACTGCTGGGGACAGCACAGGTGCTGGCCCTGGGCTCTAGCTCCCCCTAGCTGCAGATCCAGGAGGAGCCAGGCAAGGTTATTTTGCCCCAAGTGGCACAATTTGCCGCCACCAAAGTGCATTTCTGGGCATGTGTGCTGAGGCAAAAAGCCCCGACTCAAATTTGCACCGCTCTGTTTGAGCTGCTGCAAGCACATGTGCCTGCATGTGTGGATGCACCCATTGAGTCAGATAGTTCCTTAAAAACTGTTGAGGATCTGGTTTGCATGGATATTTTTGGAAGAAAAATGTGAATACCATATTTATTAAATTGCAGTGGCTCTGATGGGGATTGAGTTAAATGAATCAGTTGTGTCTGTTTTTAAATGACAAAACTTTATAGGTTAGAGAGGAAAGGAAGACAAAGAATTTATCTGAAGAGCTTTCCTTGCTGATGTCAACTGATTGGAGTCATCTCTCTTTCTTTTCATAGGGAATCTGACAAAACATATGAAGTCTAAAGCACACATGAAAAAATGCCTGGAGCTCGGAGTATCAATGACATCTGTGGATGATGCTGAAACCGAAGAAGCAGGTATGTCACACTGAGTTATTTTAGCTGGAATAGCCTTTGGAGTATGCAAATCACTCGTTACACTGTAGCACAGTGACGGACATAGAATGAGTTAAGACTTTTTTTTTTTTTTTTAGAAAACAGGTCTTTAGTATTTTATTAAGCAGTAAATATAAAAATATATAACCCATTTATTTGCACGAATTCTGATTTTTAATATGACATGTTAAATGGAGTAACACATGATTATCCAACTGGTAAGTGGTCAAACTGTGGGGCTTGTTGACATTGCCGCTGGAGTACTGCATTGGTGTGGCTCTGAAACTCAGGGGCCATTACCTGCCATTGAATTCAGTCACTACTGGTGACTGAAATTGGCAGCAGGGGAAAAGCATTGTGGGGAGGGAGGGAGGTTACATTCACCCCCTGGGTTCCAGATCTGTGCCAACACAGTGACTCTGGCAACCATGCCTTTGTTTGCTCTGCTGCCAGAGGTGGGTCAGCTGGCTCTGAAGCAGGACAAGTCCTGACCCAGTCCATGAGGCCAAATAAGTAGGACACTCCTGTTCCTACATTTTGGTGTGCACAGAAAGTAAAAATTCACCCCCTTGCAGAAGCCTAGAGGGTGGGTTTCAAACTTACATTCTACAGGGGGTTGAATTGCACCTAGAATGTAATTGCTGAGGCAGTTACGGAGTTTTATTACTGTTATGTTGTTTAGGTCAGTACTTCTCAATCAGGGTTTCTTTTAAGGGTGTTGTGAGGTGCCATGCAATTTTAGCACTGTTAGGTGTAGAAGCATCTACAAATGATTCACAACATAAGCCCAGAGGTTTCAATAGCTATCCAAAGTGTCAAAGACATTCTGACCTGTTGTATCTTTCAGAGATCTTCACAACAGAATTACTCTATTATTTTTCCACATTCAAAATACGAATGGAAACTAAAAGCTTGCATTTTCCACTTGCCTTTTCTACTGAGGGGTGCTTTGAGTCTAAAAAGGTTGAGAACCACTGGTTTAGGTTTTTTTGAAGAGCTGGTTGTGCAGCCACTTCACACAGAGCACATCTGTTAAAGTCAAAAGATGTTCTAAGCATGGAATGGGTGCAGGATTTGGCCCAGAGTGTGTGTCATGTGTACACTTCACTGACTTCTTGTGGTTGTTTCAGAAAATATGGAGGACATGCACCAGGAAATGGAGAAGAGTAGCAATGTGGCAAGCATATCAAGTGAACACCAGTTCTCTGATGCTGAGGAATCAGATGGCGAGGACGGAGATGACAATGATGATGATGATGAGGAGGATGATGATTTTGATGATACCCAGGGAGACTCAACACCAAAAACAAGATCAAGAAGCACCAGCCCTCAGCCCCCCAGATTCTCTTCACTGTCAGTAAACTCTGCTGCGGCATCTCAAGGGGTGTCCTCTGACACTTCCATTTCAGTGGGACACACTTCCCTGATCAGTTACTTGGTCACTTTACCTAGTATTCAGGTAACCCAGCTCATCACACCAAGTGACTCATGTGAAGACTCACAGATGACAGAATATCAGAGGTTTTTCCAGAATAAAAGTACTGATTCAGAGCCTGACAAAGACAGGTTGGACATACCTAGCTGTATGGATGAGGATTACATGCTCTCACTAGACCCCAGCTCATCTCCAAGGGACCTCTCACCTTCCAGCCATCAGTCCTCACCAGGGTATGATTCTTCACCATATAGAGATAATTCACCAAAGAGGTATTTAATGCCCAAAGGAGATCTGTCACCCAGAAGACATTTATCACCCAGGAGAGATATTTCACCCATGAGACATCTTTCCCCAAGGAAGGAAGCTGTGTTGAGGAGGGAGTTATCTCCAAGACGGGATGTTTCACCGAGACGTCATCTGTCACCAAGGAGACCAATGTCACCTGGGAAAGACACATCTGTCAGAAGAGACCTGTCTCCAAGGAGAGAGAGAAGATATATGGCCTCAGTTCGAGCAGCATCACCCAGGAGGGGTTTATACCATAATCCAGCATTGTCTATGGGTCAATATTTACAGTCTGAATCTGTTCCACTGGGACATGGAGTAAGTATGAAAGAATATTTTAATTTTTGTTATAAAAAACAGTGCTCTTATTTCACCTATATAGTGACTCTAGTGTGATAAGTTCTGTTAAAAACATTTAGAAATATTTGTAGGAGGAAAAAAGAGGGAGATTTAGCAGTCATAATTTCCTCAGAAACCTTCAAATAGAACATAGCAGATATGGTAGATACAGAATAAGTCAGGATTTTGATTGAGCCACTTACAGTGACTAGGTACAGAACATTGCAGACTTGGGGTCAGAACTCCAGTAGTTGGTGCAAAATCAAAAAAAAAAAATCTTTTGACTTTAATAACTTCAAAGGAATTATGCTGGTTTGCACGACCTTTGATGAGCCCCTTAGTATCTTTACATTTGTCTCAGGAGATTTACGGTAGCTCATAAAGACTATTAATGGGTTTGTCTTTCACCTTAAGATTGCCAGCTTCAGACTGGCAATAGTAGTGACCAAGGTCCTGTTACTGCAGTGTGATGGACAGACACTACTGAAATACTGGCTAGATAAATAAAACCAGTGAAGAAATGGGGCTCCAATTAGGAGCAGGGAGCTACCCATGTGCATCACACTGCATGGTTAGAGCCTAGAGATTGTTATCCTCTGATGACTGTTGACAGGTGCCTATATCCTAAAAAGTACCATCACAGCTGGCAGTTTTAGCAGGGATGCAAAGGTCTGCATGGAAACTAAAATATGTAAAAACGCCTGCTGCTAGGCCCTGTGATAGTCCTGTCTTGCAAATAAGTAAAATACTGGATCTCTAAAGCTGTCAACTCGGCACTTTTCACAAGCACTAATATTCAGAAAAGGCGGCGCACACACACTGTGTTTGAAGGAATTAGCTCATTTTTACTTAAGATTCTTCTTTTGGCCACATTATTTGAACATTGCCTCTGCCATCCCCTTATATGTTCTTTAAAGTAAAATTCACATGTATTGGTTCAATGTGGGTAAACAGTGACAGAGCTACAGGCTCCCACCTGGAACAATCCAGCAGGGCTGTGCTCATTGCTCTTCCATCATCTGTCTTGTTTGTTCATCACAGTTATGATGCCTCCCTGTGGTTGACAAGAATTAACCTGGAAACTTATAAAAGTAGTAATTTCTGAACTTTGGAATTGGTTCCTTCGTGCAGTTTAGCAGTCCTGCAGGCGTAATCATCCTGGAGCATTACAGTTAGTGAAGAGAAAGGGCACACAGTCAGTCACCATTTTTATTGGCAAATTAAGCAAAGAAAAAGATAAATGGTCACTAATTTAGCAGTCATAATATCTTGGCATCAAATGAATGATATTATATGGAACAACACAGTTGACATTGTTACACTGTGAACAGAGAGCTGCAAGTCCTCTGAATGGCTAAATACACTGCATGAAACGCTGCTAGAGTACAAATTCCTGGAGGTCTAATGATATTACTGAAAGGGTATGTGACAAACTTCACCCTGGGCAACCTGACAGTACTTGCTACAATATTCACATTCTCCATTCTGCACCTCATCCTACAAGGTGCATAGCACAGTGTGAGAAATGTTTAGCACCATCAGCTCTGTACCTTGCCAGATTGGCTCTTGAAACGACAACATTTTTGAGGTAATGTCAGATCCATTTCAATAAAATACATAAAAGAAAAATCATGTTATAATGAACAGCAGAAGCCCTTTGGCATCTCTGCTGTTTTTTTCATTCACACACTTGGATATAGGCCTAGACAGGACAGTGTGACTGGGGTAAATATAAAGCTCTTAAATGTAGTAGAGAAAAGCAGTACAAGAACCAACAGCTAGAAGGCACATTCAAATAAGAAATTAGGCACACATTTTAACAGTGAGGGTGATTAACCACTGGAACAAACTATCTACCACAGGAAGTGATGGATTCTCCACCTCTATCTAGAAGATTTTGTTTAGTTAGATACAAGCTAAGCTTCAAAAGTTACTGGACTCATTGCAGAGGCAACTGGGGGATATTTAATGACCCACGATGTACAGGAGGTCGGAGAACAATGATCCTTTCTGGCCTTAAGCTTTCTAAATCTACAAACTAGGGCTGTCAGTTAATCGCAGTTAACTTGCACGATTAACACAAAAACAAATTACCACATTAATTTTTTTTTAATTACACACTTCGTTTTGACCAGCGGAGCAGACCAGCCAGAGCCCACGTGCACAGCCCTGATCCTGGCCCATCCTGTTCCTAATCTGGACTTGCCTGCCCATGCTGAACAGCAGCTGCAGTGACAACAGCTTTGCAAAAGCTGCTGCTCAGCACAGGGGAAAAGCAGTCCCTCCCCATCACCCCTGCTGGGCCCTTCTTGCTGCAGCCAGTCAGAGCCCATGCCCAGGCTGCCCTGCAGCTCCTCTCCGCTAACGGCACCGCTGCCTCCAGGCCACCCAGCAGAGCAGCGGTGGCAATGCAGAGAAGCCACAGTGCAGCCAGGGCATGGACTCCAGGTGGCTGCAGCAAAAAGGGCCAAGCAGCGGTGAGGGAGAAAGGCCACATTTCCTCTGCACTGAGCATCAACTTCTGCCTGGCTGTTGCTGCTGCTCAGCATGGGCAGGTGAATTTGGAGCAGGCATGGGGGAGGCTGGGGTCGGGGCTGTTAGCACGGGTTATGTCTGGTTTGCTAAGGCTGGGGCAGGTCTGGAGCAGATGTGGGGAGGGCTGGGGTTGGGGCTGGGGCTGTGTGCTATTGTTGGTGGTGGGGAGGAGCCGCAGGGTGCACCAGGTCTGGGCTGATAGGGACAGGGTGCTGAGTATTGTTTAATCATGCAATTAAGATTGTGATTGATTGCGACTTTTTTTTAAATCTTGCAATTAATTGCAATTATTTTTTTAAAAACCATTTGTCATCCTGACTACAAACATAAAAAGTGACCTTTTGTCTGAATTTTTAAGTCTCCTTTCAAGTAAACCTTGAGTTCATTGTAACTGAAAACTATTATATGAAAGGAAAGGGCTATTTTTTTCTCTTTCAAAACTGCACAATTAAAATGTAAGTGACTGGTGCAGATTCCAGAATGAAATCCTGTTCCTTCTTCCCTACCTTTTTTGACTTGTTGGCCATTACAAAAATGATAGACAGAGCTATCAATAGAAGGGACTAACCCTATTTGCTCTTCATTGCCATTAGAGCTCCTGGGGTAGGTATTACAGGAGCAGGGGTTTGCTTTGGTTCCTGTGGCTGGAAGTGTGTAATGGTAACTAGAAAAACAAGGTGGTCTTGCAGTTAAGCCAGTGGTCAGCTCCCTGGTTTCCTCATGGTCATGCTGTGTTGATTGGCTCCTACCCTCCACTTCAGGTATGCTTGCACTTTGGTTGTGCTGTACACACATATTTTAGGATTTAAAAGCACCATATAACTATCAATTCTAGTTATTTCCAGAGAAAAAGAAAAAGAACAAAAGAATAGCAGCTAAAGGCAATAAAAAAAGAAAAATGTTGACTTCCCTACAATAGCAGTTATTTCACAGACACTGTCTCCAGGGCAGGTCTGACACTGTTGGTGGTGCTGGTGAACAATGTTGTTTAACTGAACCTTTGAAACATAAAAGCACAACTCTGTATTGGAATAGGGAGGGCCATTAGACTTTACTGCAGTAGGATTCTCTTAGGGGATTTTGGAGCAATTGTCAACCCTGCTGCCCTTTACACGGGTTCAGTATCTGCAGTCGTAGCTGGAACAAGGGGCCCGTTTCCATATTTTCCCCTTGGAGGAGGTTGGTGCCATTACCAAAGAGAAGTAATTTATCTTCCCAGCTACTTTGTACCAGACCTAATACAGGCTGAGAAGGTGGGGGAGAGGGAAAGGCTGCTTGTGTCCTCTTTTCCTTTACAGGAGCTGTACTAAAGACCCTTCCTTATGCTTTTAGAGGGGGATAAAAGCATCTTTTTAAAAGTTGTTCCCATTGGCTTTCAGCCAGGAGGTTGAAAGCAGAATACAGGGTGGTGCCATCCCAGTTCTCACATCCAGTTGATGTGCAGTTCCTGTACAACTTGCTTGTGGTTCTGTTTTGCAGCACTTCTTCTCCTTTGTGTTGGCTGTAACTAGGCTGGGATTTTCAGCGGACCTGAAATTTTGGCACCTCTTATACTCTTTGAAAACCCCATCTTGAATTGATTGTGGGTTTGAAGGCTCCATCGATTGTGTCCATGTGTTTACGCAGCAGTGCTCTGTCTTGTGTTCTGCCTGCTAGTAACTTTCCTGTTGGAATTCAACCTGTTGTTGTCTTTTACCTAATATACTTTGGGACATGGCAATCAAAAGGAGCAGTTTTTTTCTCATGCCGTCTACCACAAGCTGGGATCTCCAGAGGTGTTCTAGGGCCACTGGCAGGATATTCTGTGAAGGGCACTTGGCTTTGAAATTTGATCTTCCCCTTTAATCCAGCACAGCCCAGCTTTGCTGTATTACTAGGCACATGACAAAGCCCACATCTTTTTTTCTCCAGACTGGGAATGAGGCAGATGTATTAAGGATAGACTATTGGCTTTGTGTTGGGGTTATGGTGTGAAAGTCTGACTGTGCAAGGCAGGTCAGAAAGTGTGGTGGAGACCGTCAGGGTTGTTGGTCGTAGCTGTGTTGGTCTAAGGACATAGGCAGACAAGGTTCTTTGAGTAGATGTGATATATTTTATTAGACCAACTGATAGCTGGAAAGAAGTTCTTAGCAAGCTTTCGCGTGCAATCACCCTTCTTCAGGCATAGGGAGTCTCTGCTGTTCTGAGACCCCAAGGAATGAGAGAAGCTAAAAGTAGTACAGGATGTCAGTGGAGATTTTCAGTATTTCATGTGGAATATTGCAGTTTGAAAGATTATCAAGCCTCCTCTTTTACCTTCCCATGCCTAACTGGCATGTGTGCAGCTATAGAACTGCAATCCTGCAGTTTGAAGTCTACATAACTATACTCAGAGCATACTCAGAGAGCCATTCTCTGGCTGTGTGGGTGCTTGGGGAGAAATAGCCCAGGCATGTGTGTAAGCCGGGTATGTTCCAAAACATTAATTATAGGAAAACCACCTCTAGTGCATGCTTGTCAGAGGAGGAGAGAGCCCTCTCACATTTTACACTGATGATTTTGAGCCAGGGTGTGGGGGCACCCAGGTGTGCATTGAGATCCTTTGAAGGGTGCCATGGGGTATGAGGAAATAAGACAGGTGTGAGGAGATAAGCAGATAAGCACAGGCTCAGACTGAGTCCCTTACTGGCTGTTCCCCTGCCCCCTGTGCCTGGCTCCTTTGCAAGGAAGTAAGCATCATAATAAACAAGGTAGTTTTTGAAATGGGATGCCGTTAAATTCATGAAAGTTATGGAGAGTTGCCATGAGCCTGTTGAGCAGTGCCTTAAGTCTAAAAAGCAATCAGGGCTCACAGACAGGGGTGATATCTTTTATTAGATCAACAAGGTTTTTGCAAAAAAAACAAGCATTCACACACAAACACCCTTCATCAGACATCAGAGAAAAGATTGTAAAAGTTCTCCTGGGTAGAAATGAGAAATTAAGTCTAAAACGGTACTTTAGACAACAGACAGGGCGCTTGCTTATGAAGCAGGCAACCCAGGCTGTACGCCTCCTTCACCTAGGGAGCGTTTGAATCTGGAGCTTCGACTGCCAAGTAAAATTCCTTAACCACCTTCCCATTATGCTGAGTGCTTTCTAAGCCTCCTCTTGAGACTGGCCTACTGGGCAGCCAGGAGAGGAAAAGACAAGGCAGCATCTATCTCCTTGAGCTACCCTCCCTGTAGAACTTCCCCATTCGTTCTGTTATTAGAAGAAGAGAAGCATTTTATCTTTGAAAGGGCATCTCCCTAAATGAGCCAAAATATTATATTCTTTAAAAAAAAACAAAGATGCCCCTTCCTAAAAAGGGAAAGTGATTTTGCAGTGAAACTTTATCAGGGCTTGGTAAATATATTGCCTTCTGTTCCCCCTTGTGGCAGGGGACTCAGCAAAGGGGTTGAATTGGGCCATGGAAAGCAGCTGGTGCAGTTGGCAGCCGCCCCTGAGGACAAAACAAGACTGGGAACTGAATGGCTCAGGGAACCTTTTAAAAAGACAGGATGGGCAGCTGTGGTTCAGGGCTTGCATTGAAAAAGGTCGTGTACATTATAAGGCATTGGATCTGATGTCTGACAGTTTCATATCTGAAGAGATGGCTGTGTTTAATCATAAGGATGTCCCTTTATTTCATCTTTCCTTTTAATTTAGTTGTAAAATAGGAATCACTCTAGCCTGGGTGTTATGCTAGGCCAGTATAGTTAAGGAAAACAGAGAGAAGTGATGTTAATTAGCATCACGTCTGGTGGCTTAAGACTTCCCAGGGTCTGTTATGGGCACTTTTTGGTTCAAGTTCAGAATAGGGCTCACATCTATGAATCTGTAGCAAGATGCCTTAACCCCTGCCCAAATGATGGCAGGCCTGAACCAAAAAGCCCAGACTAACTTCTATCGTACTTTGGAATTAGAGGGACTCCTACTGTGGACCTGAGCTTGACTGGCTCCTGCTTCTATAAAGTTTTGATGCAGAATACTGTATGTGAACATATGTGAGCTTTAGGAGGCTCAGAATCTCAATCCAGAAGTAAATTTTTTGTCTTGGGTCCTCTGCTTGATTCCTTGGTCATCACAGGTTCAGATACTTTTAATTAGAGGTTCTGAGTATCCAAGCTCATTCTACCAAGAGCTGCATGCCTTTGCAGCATTTTTGTTGTCCCGGTTCTATTTCTATTGAGGTCAAGTTTACATCAGATGTAGTAGTAATAGAAATCTTGGCTTGGGAAGCAGCTGAGGACACTAGAGCTGAGAAGCACTGTGGCTGAAAAAATATATAACAAGGCTGATTATATGGAAAGCCTGGAAATTTGGGGCATCATCTGGGCAATCTGGGACACTGCCCACTTCCCAGACCCTCTAGGCCCCCTGCACACTCACAAGTTGGCAGGGGCAGGGCAGCAGCCAGCCAGGATCAGTCTCTGAAATCTGGGACTGTCCCAGCTAAACTGGGACACACAGTCACCCTATATGTAAGCAACACTGCCAAGGGACCACAAATCTCTAAAGCTTTGGCAAGCTGTTTTTCCAAGATGCTTGCATTAGAGAGCACTGAAATGGTCATGACTTTCAGCACTATCAGATTAGCGGTTTGGCAGTTGCTCCTTATTCCTCAAACTTTGTTTCTCCTTTGGCAGTACAGTGACCTGCTACCATGTTCTCTTATGACAGTTTTTGTGGGGTTTATGTCTTACATTTTTCTACGAGCATATCTCAAGCCTGGGTTTGGTGATCTCAGGTCACGCCTCATGTCCCAGCATTGATAGATCTCGAGCATTATAAAGGTGCTGTGAATCATGAGATTCTGCAATTGGGGCAGCAAATGTGGAATAGTTAATTGCCTTCTAAACCAGCTCCCCAGTCAGCAGGCTGATTAATGCCTTGGGAGGTAGGATCTCCTGGCAGTGAAATGACAGTGATGCCAGTGATGCTCAGAGCATTAGCATCTTGTGGCATAGTCCCTAAACTGCATGCACCAGGGCTGTGTTTAGCAGCACATCCAGTAAGAAGTGAATACATTTCCCCCTACATATTCAGGGAAGAGTATTTTAGGCATTTGAGTTCCATGAGAGTCCTTAAAAGGTAGATCCATACATGAAAAGGTAGCCCTGCCTTTCTTCCAGCCCTATTGCTTTAATCCCTAATTAGCAATGTATAATTATCTAATGAAAGACGAATGAGACAAATCAACAGACTTAAAGCAGGGAATTTTGTATCTCAGGATGTTTGTAATATGAAACAAATAAAAGCTTTTCAACTTTTAATCACTCTTTCAAGACAGGACTTGGTGGGAAGAAATCAAAAAGTCATACCTTGCAATTAGTGTGTGAGGGGTTATATGAAATCCAGTATTTTTCATAATCACTTTTAGAGGCACAACTTTCACTGCCAGTGAATTGGGACACTTGTATTATTATTTAATAAATCCTTTATAATAATTCATTAATTAATATGGTAGTATTGCCCAAAGGCCTCAATCAGGATTGGTGTTCTGTTGTATTAAAGCCTGTTTACATACTTGTGTTCTCTGCCTGGAAGCCAAGGAGTTAGATGTGCATGGAAGCAGAACTACCCTTTTGTCAAAAAGGTAGTCAGGGGTGAAGAACATTATGGAAAAGCTTGCTATGATGTCACCCATGTAATAGGGGAATTCATTTTCCAGGGCTTCAGTCCTGCACATTTCTCCGGAATATGTGCATTATATCTTATAATATTTTTCCTATACTGATGACTAGCACCACAACTGAAAGGGACCATAGTATGAACAAGAGCCATCAGTGCGATGCTGTAGCCAGCAGGGCAAACAATACTGTGGCATGCATCAACCGATGCATCTTGAGCAAAACCAAGGAAGTGATTCTTCCGCTTTACTTGGCATTGGTGAGACCACAGCTGGAGTACTGGGTCCAGTTCTGGGTGCCGCACTTCAACAAGGATGTGGGAAAGCTTGAGGGAGTCCAGAGAAGAGCTACCCATATGATCAGAGACTTGCAAGACAAGCCATATGAGGAAAGGCTGAGGGACTTGGGTCTCTTCAGCCTAAAAAAGAGAAGGCTAAGAAGGTACTTGGTAGCAACTTAGCGCTACATCAGGTGAACATTTCAAGGGCTTGGTGAACAACTGTTCACCAGGGCATCTTTGATGAAAACCCGGAGTAATGGCCACAGAAATCTTCAAGAGACTGGATGGTCACCCTGTTGGGGTCACCTGACCCCCGTTCTCATTCCTGCCTAGTGCAGGGGGGCTGGACCCAATGATCTTGTGAGGTCCCTTCCAGCCCCTTACAATCTATGAACTTCTTGGTGACAAAAAAGGGACCACTGAAAAGTATATTTCCCAGACGTAGAGGGCCAATCTCCAGTGCAGACTGCCAATGCCAGCACTGTAGTTATTTGCAGAATTTGTACATGTAGGTGTGTTAACCCTGATGTCTTAGCCAAATTTCTCCTGGTGAAATTCCTTACGATTTCTTCTTTATTTTCAGTGGAATATGATACTCTTGCCTTTCTGACCTAAGGTGCTGTAAAGCAATTCTATGTGCTACCTAATAGGAAGCTGCCTTTTTGGACTAGACTTTGTGAACCTTCTCTATATATCCTATATTATATTTATAAGCAATGAATGGAGTTTACAAAATACTTTGGGAGCCCCCTGAACTGTAGATTGTTTGGCGCACACAGTATATAAGAGAAATTGGACAGGTTGGTTAGTTGCATGGGATTTTGCTAGTAATAGAACTGACCATTTTTGCTGTTTTTCTGATTACAGAGAAGGGGGTTGTCTCAGGGTCCTTACTTCAATATGTACGGAGAAAAAGGCGTTCCGGAACATCACGGGTCTAGCCTGTTCCCTGAAGGTCCTAATGACTACATCTTCAGTCACCTTCCACTACACTCCCAGCAACAAATCCGAGCACCTATCCCTATGATGCCTATTGGAGGCATCCAGATGGTCCATTCGGTACCTGTGGCCCTGTCAGGTTTACATCCTCCGTCCACCTTACCCCTGCAGAGAGAGGGCTCTGAGGAAAAGCAAAGATTAACTTCAGAAACACTTACAAAAGAATCCTATAGCATTTCTAAACACCACGAGAAACGTACCTCTCCTCACAATGCTTCATCCAGTGTATCCTCTTCGCTACTATTGTTGAAACAAAGCACTTCAGAAGATGGTTTAGTAGCTACTGAGAGGGAACAGGAGGAAAATATACAGACTTGTACAAAAGCCATAGCTTCTCTGCGAATCGCCACAGAAGAAGCTGTTCTGCATGGGGTGGAGCAGCCGCAGAGGGCTTCTGAGCCTCATCAGAAACCCTTAGAAAGTGCACATTTTAGCATTAAACACTTTAGTGGATCTGAGCCAGGCCAGCCCTGTGCCTCAGCCACCCATCCTGACTTGCACGGTGGTGAAAAGGACATTTTTGGTACATCACAGACTGCGTTAGCTCATTCCACCTTTTACAACAAGAGCTTTGTGGATGTCAGACAGTTAGGCTTTCACAGTAGGAAAGAATCCCCATCAAGCACACAGGAAAGGAAAGATCCATCATCTGAGAAGAGCAAACTGCATTGATACAAGATGAGTGGAGACTTTTACCCATACATTTACCCTTTTTTCTTTCCTAGAGATAGAAGAAGTATTCAACTTTACAGCATGCCTGGTCTAAATTACAGTAGTTTGCTATTATATATACTTTTGTTATATCAAAAGAATTAGTTAAAATAACAAGTCATCATGAGCCTGACCAAAATGAAATTTGAAATTCTTATTGGGTCTGGTACTTTTAAATTGTACAGATGTTTGTGCCTTTTCTTTACTTTGCTTATATTCTTATAAGCATTTTTTTAGCAGTAATTTGTACATATTTTAGAATTTGTGTATCTGCTTTGTAATAAATGTAATTTCTTTCCTTTTTTGGACACTTGGATCTAAATGATGTAAAGCAAAACAGCATCAATATATATGTGAGGTTGCACTAAAACATATTTTTATATGATTAAAACTGAACAGCTTTTATGTACAGCTCTGATTCTGTAATACTAATATTTATTTACTTTGTTTCATAAATTGTAAATTTTTTTCTTAATGTTGTGGATTGCTTTTCTATGTGAAGCATGGGATTTACTGTTGCGTAATTAGAACAAAAATGTATATTGTAAACAAGATATTTAAACTAGAGTATCTTATCTTATTCTGCACTTATGCATTAGTTAAAGAAAAGATAAAGGATGTATCAGTCAGTTCTTAACTCTTGTAATTTTTTTTGTCTCTTGTTTGCTGGATTGACTCTAACTTAAGTGCTGATTGTGATTTTAAACTGATAGTACCGTAAAGCATTAAAGTAAAACAATGTGCTATTGTGAGTTTTTTCAAAGCTTTATAAAACAGTTATAAATATATTAAAAATATTTGGTCTTATGTGAACATGTTGATCTATATACTCCTTTAAACAAATGGGAAAACATTCCACCCCATGTAAATAAGTACAAGTGCATCACTGGTACAAATCTTTGTAACTCGTTTGGATGTGAGGGGTATGATCTGCTGCCATGGAAGTTGGTGAGAGCTGTGACATTGACTTCAGTGGAAGCAAGATCAGGACAAAGGTCAACCCATATGGAGGGTCTTTAAGGGGTAAAAAAAAGGTAACAAAGCACATATGACTGGTTATCGGCTGGCCCAATGGTTTGGAAAGCAGTGCTGTGCGCTGCATGAGGAAAACACAAACTCTGACAGACCTTTGGCTTCTTTCCACAAGCTAATGGTGTGGAGCTAGATGTAATCGCATGAAGAGTGAAACATGGGATCTAGGATGTTGAGAATGGGGTGTGAGGAGAAAAGAAGATGGACACCTGTTCTAAACACCTCCAGCTGGTCTGTCCTTACTATGGTACTTGTATCAACTTTAAGGGAGGCTATCCATCCACCCATCTGATGGGAGTAAGTGTACCACAACTGTGGTCATCAGCTCTCCTGGCCAGATAGCACCGCTACAGTGGCCATCTGCAGGGGACGAGGTCCATGAACAAGAAAGAAGTATTCTTTAAGAATAAAGCATCCCTAGGATACCATCTGGATTGGTGTTTAGTCAGTGTGGGGGGGAAGTGAGGAGGAACCCATGTTTGGATATTTGAAGGAATGGTGGGTTACCATGACCACCATCAATACACACACACGCGCGCGCACACCCCCCCCCCCCAA